TCATTACGTGCTACATCATACCTTGTATATTTATTTATCCTCTTTTTCATAAAATATGTATTACTTATTACCAAATCTCTTTCTGCACATAGCTCAATTAAAGGTTCCCCATTTACATTTACCCCTGGCACCCCAAATTTACCTACTACTCCCTCCATAACATTTTTACCCACTTTAGCATTGAAATCCCCAACCACCATTACTCTCACACTTGATTCAAAACTCCCCACGCATTCACTCAACATTTCCCAAAATCTCTCTCTCTCTCTACACTTCTCTCTTCTCCAGGTGCATACACGCTTATTATAACCCACTTTTCACATCCAATCTTTATTTTACTCCACACAATCCTTGAATTAATACATTTATAATCCCTCTTTTCCTGCCATAGCTTATCCTTCAACATTATTGCTACTCCTTCTTTAGCTCTAACTCTATTTGAAACCCCTGACCTAATCCCATTTATTCCTCTCCACTGAAACTCTCCCACCCCCTTCAGCTTTGTTTCACTTAAAGCCAGGACATCCAGCTTCTTCTCATTCATAACATCCACAATCATCTCTTTCTTATCATCTGCACAACATCCACGCACATTCAGACTTCTCACTTTGACAATTTTCTTCTTCTTATTCTTTTTAGTAATCTTTACAGGAAAAGGGGTTACTAGCCCATTGTTCCCGGCATTTTAGTTGACTTTTACAACACACATGGCTTACGGAGGAAAGATTCTTATTCCACTTCCCCATGGATATAAAAGGAAAAGTAATAAGACCAAGAACTATTAAGATAAAATCAAAGAAAACTCAGATGAGTGTGTATATATAAATGTGTACATGTATGTGACCTAAGTGTAAGTAGAAGTAGCAAGACATACCTGTAATCTTGCAGATTTATGAGACAGACAAAAGACATCAGCAATCCTACCATCATGTATAACAATCACAGGCTTTCGTTTTACACTCACTTGGCAGGACGGTAGTACCTCCCTGGGTGGTTGCTGTCTACCAACCTACTACATGTATGAAAATATCCTCATATATATGGTAGTCCTCTTCAGTGGATGTAGTTCTTGCTTGGTCACTATGAGTGATGGCATCCCTGAATGTCCTGAACTATTGGTTCAGTGAAGGAGAGCATCTAGGTCAAAATCATATTCTTGGGTTTCCTGTACAGACTCTGGCTTTGTCTCCAAGAGGCAGGTGGAGCTGTTTCTTGTACAGGTTGTGGTGGTTTATCAGAGAAGAGAAGCCCATCAATGAAGGCCTCCTGTTCTCACTGCTCTTCTGACTCGGCTGCAGCTCCAGTAGAAACTGTAAAGTTGTTTATGTAATACATAACTTATAAGAGAATCAAGTTCATTATTATCATTAGTAGTTTCCAGACTTGTGACCTTGTTAGTTTCCTCTGCTGCTAAGGTAATTTAGATGCTTGCTATTCCTGGCACATTGTCAGATGGTTTACTCTTGAAATGCATACGACTTGAGCTGACCTTGGCTATCTCTTCTTCCTCTGCCTAGAACTGCCTTTTGACTTCTTTTATTTTTTTTTCATTTCTTTTTGGCTTTCCACTTGATAATAGTCCAGGACAGACTGAAATGTCGTATACTGTACACTACTGTTCGTACATTTCCAGTGTGCGGATTAAATGTGAATAACACATATTGTGTGGTATGCAGTTATGCAGAGATACAATATGTAGTATTTTAAGGAATCCTAGAGAGAATATACGATATAGCATGCACAAAATAATTGTGTATAATAATAATAATATCTTTATTTCTGATAGTACATGTACAAGGTATACAGGCCTAGCTGACATCAGTGACATACTGCTACGTATATAGCAAGCCCCGTGTTATGCAGAACATTTTGGGTGAATTAGGTCAGTTTTGTCCCCAGGATGCAACCCACACCAGTCGACTAACACCCAGGTACCCATTTTACTGATGGGTGAAGAGGGACAACAGGTGTAAGGAAACACGTCCAATGTTTGCACCCTTGCCGGGAATCGATCCACAGACCCTCAGTGTGTGAAGCAAGTGCTTTCCCTACCAGGCCATGGGCCACACTATACAAAGCAGATACACTAGTGATTATCATACACTTTTAAATAATATAATACAGTGATCCCTGTTTAACAACCATTTGCTTAACATAAATTTGCTTAGCAACAAGGATAAGCAGAGGAGAATTTTGCTTAGCAACCATATGTACCATATATGCAACCTCTTAGAGTGGGTCATTCCAAGTAAGTCGAGAGACCATACTGCTTCCTGGATGAATAAATGAACATAGCCTTTGTTATTGTTTAGGATCCAGAGAGGCAATATGTTTTACTTTTTTTGTTACAGCTTTAGGTCTGTATGTTTTATCTTGGACAAGAATTCCAAAAGAACATCAAGTGGTAAGGATTGCAGTGATGCAAAAGTCAGGAGCATTATTTTTTAGACACTAAATTGGATATTTTATATTGGGTTGATTCTTGTGAAAAACCAAGAGGCATTGTAAAACTTTTTGATCACCCCAAATCCAGGGTGTAAACTATCGTAAAGAAACCTGAGATAGTTACAGAGTGATGAGCATGTGAATCCTGTCTCTAATGTGAAAGTTACATGCACTTGAAGTAAGCTGTTGAAGACTTGAAAAGACTTCTCAGTTGTATGGATTAAGCATAAGACCTGATGCATGCTGTTTTAATCATTCAGATGAGGACTAGGCATTTGAGGATATGAAAGAAAACAAAGATGAGGATGCAGAATAATTTAATTTCATTTTACTAAGTAGCAGTATAATAGATTTAAAGGTGCAGCAGTCTGCATATCACAGTGTTTTCATAAATCCCTTGGATAATAATGTACTGCTAAAACTCACAGATGAAGATGTATAGATAAAACTTGTAGAGAAGAATGCATTGATAAACCTCATAGATAATGATGCATTATAATATTTGTAGATGATGTATTGCTAAATTGAGGATGATAGCTACATATTTCAGCAAGTCCTCACTGCTGATGAACTTGAGTTGTACTGGAAGTGAATGCCATCAAGAACCTTCATATGAAGAGATGAGAAGAGTGCTCTAGGTGTTCATGATAAGCAAAGACAACCTTTCTTCTGGGGGTTAATGCAGCAAACATTTAAAGCTAAAGCTTCTGTTATTGTACCATTCTGAAATGTCAGGAACTATAAAGAACTTTCACCCTGTCTTACACATAGACATGCCAGCAGGAGAGCAAAGGTAACAAAGTATAGTACTGTAAGTTTGTGGATTGGATTTCACATTATTTTTGTTCTTATGTTGAAAAATACTCTGCTGCCATCATCATCAACTCACAAGGTGTTGCTCATTGATAATACCATATTCCATCTTTTTTGCATTGACTAATTTTCTACACATCAGGATCATGTTTCTTCCTTAGAACACTATGTCTTTGATCCAACAAATGGATCAGTATGTTATATATGTAAGAAAAACAATCTCCAAATTTTTCAGAAGACCCAAATGATGAGGTTAAATCAATAATCAGTGAGTTCTGGCTAACCTTTATTATACATGTATATATGTATCTGCCATCAGTGTCATTAGTAAATCATGATTGTTACATTGAATATGCCATGGAAAGACTGAGGCTTGAATGTGTGAGTGATTTACATGAACTCCACAAGATGCTTCCAGATATTGAGAGATTTGGGCCCTTACCAGGTAGGCTGGAATTAAGTTGCTGGAGTTTTGTGAGGTGTTCTCTGCCATTTCAGCAGAGGATGAGAAGGAAAACAAACTCAAAATCTGACTTAGGGGCACATATGTAAAGTGTTTGATCGCATTAAAGAAGCTTTGGAAGTTGTAACATAATGTAGCCCATGCCACAGCCTTCTCTACTGTGGTGAGCAGTGCGGCAGAGTACTACAGAACTTTGCATGTAGAAAAATCAGTGGTATTGAGCAAAAACGACCATCCTGCAGCTACAGGTGTCTTCTTTGTGGATGCCTTCATCCATGACAGCCCCAAAGAAGATACCTATAGTTACAATACAACTCTACAAGTCATGCCTTCCCTAGTTGCAGGAGCCCTTCTACAATATGTGCATCCCCCAGCAACAGTCAATTTCTCCCCCCCCCCCACTAACCCTCATCTGATTGCTCAGATGAAAAGGCAGATGATCCTTTCCCTTTCCGTCACCCACATTAATTCTACTTTTCTTTCTCTCCACTGCCTGTCTAACTTAACACACTCCCTCCACCCATATGCTCTAGTTATGGTACTGTACTGTACAACCAACTCGTCTCCTCCTATCACCTACCCAAGAAGGCAACCATCTTTGGTGAGTACAGTAATATTAATTTCATTGTAAGACTATTTGAATAGGAGCACTATACATGAAATTATTTTCCCAGAATGCATTTTGAATTATAAAGTGGGTGTCTAAGGAAATGGGATTAGCTTAAATTAATATAAAAACCACTCTGACCAATTTCATTGGAATGTATCATGGTTGTTAAACAAAGAGATTACTTTGATCTAGAAATCCCCTTTTTTGCAAAGCATTTTGGGAGAAATTAAAGCTGAGAAACTTAGGCTTGCAACCTGATGCAAAATTTTGGAAATCCCAAAACTTTACTTCCTAGAAAAGATGTTTGTCACAAAGTTCTGCATAATCCTTTATAAGTGCCTAATAGTTTTGTAATGAGTTTAAGCTTTAATAGTTATTTATTAAACATTTTTGACAGGATTTGGTACACCAAAATGGATTGGATGACCCTCCTGTAAAATACTAATGAATACAGTATAAAACTATCGTTTGGAATTTCCTACTGTATACAGTATAAGTACATGTACTGTGTTACCATGCTGTATAATAGTTTATATCCATAGACAGGTTATAAAAAGTTCCTTTAAAATTTAGGATCTGCAGAGAATCAGGCACTGGATGTTTTCTTTCTGTGGCTTTTTCATAAAGGAAACCTAAATGCAGTGTGTACATCAACACATTATATTTCAGGTAGGGGAGAGAATACGAGTGATACTGGACTGTGATGACAACACGTTAGCATTTGAGAAGAACTACGAATTTCTAGGAGTTGCTTTTAGAGGTAAAGTACACATGAATAATGCCACAATATTCATGTTCAGTAGCAATAAATGAGAAAGAAGTGGTGTAGATTCATTCTGTGTATTCTAGAATATGTTCATGTTTTTCCAGTCAACCAACCACTTATAATTATTTTTCCATTGCTAATTTACCTAGTTCACTTAGAATTAGCCTTGCAGATTGATTTAGATTGAAAATAATGCCAAAAATTACTGTTTTTTTAATACGGTACTATTAAATTTCCAGACTAAGAGCTATTATCTTACCTCAGTTCATTTCAAATCCCTGTCGTATCTAAGATATATGGTACTACCGCACTTCAGGATGCAGGATACAATAGTCAGCCAACACCCAGATACCTATGTACTGCTAGGTGAACAGAAGCAACAGGTGTTAGGAGACTTCCCCATATGTTTTGACCTGCCTGGGTTTGAACCCAAAGGCATTACCACTGAGCTACAAGCCTTGGACAATACAGGAAAGGGCAAAAATGCAGAAGTTTGCTCACAAACCTGTATAAAGGGGTGCAAGAATTGAAGAGTAAGAAAAACCTGATGCAAATATAATATGCTATTAATGTGATGATATTCTGAAAATTTTTCACATTAGTTTGCCATTTATATGCCAGAAATGTCATATAACACAGTACTACTAACTTATCATTTGATGCAATAGTTTAACACAAACAAGCTTTAGACTTCAGTAAGGTGAGGCAGTTTTGATGTTGACCTTTTGCTAGTCTTGATCAATACAAATGTGTGTACAAACTTGCCAAGGGTTATATTTCTAGAAGTCTGCAAAACTAAAAAATGCAAACACAATACAGTATTATGTTTGCATAGCAAATTTGGTTTCAGAATTTTGGCTAATTTTGTTTCAGATGCCATATCTCTGTAATATATCACTGTTGTGATATTGAACACAATTTAAATGAAATCATTTGGCAAGTTTTCAATTTTGGGGCTGTGTGCCAAACCTTGAAAATATGGAACTGTCAGAAAACCTGTGGATAAGTGAAACTATTCACTGGTTGCTCATCAGTAAACATGTTGGATAATCCAGACCCAGAGGTTAGGAAAACCCACAAATTTTGTAGAGAAGGCTTTAATTTTCAGAATTTGAAAGTCTTAGTTTTAACTCTTTATAAGAGGGCTGACAGACTTCAGTTCAGCCATGTACTGTACATAAACATAGGCCTGTTGATATATCTTTTATTTATACAGTAATTGATAAAACTATATTTGTAACCACAAACAGCAAACCCACAAGTTGGAAATGCAAACTTAACATGTATTGTAAAGTATATGGAAATGGGTTATGCAGCATTTGCATTGTAAAGTACTTATACAGAAGTGGGTTATGCAGTTAAACACCTCCAAACTTTAAATTAGTGATTCAAAATCATTAAAAGGTGGGGAAGTTAGATCTGACAAGACCCTTCCCCCTTGTGTGAAGTCTCTGTAAATTGCTCCTTTATGGAATCCACAAACTTGTACACATACAGTACTTGTTGAATTTACCTAATATACAAAGCTTCATGATGATTGCTGCACCACAAATAACCACCCACACCTCAGTCTTTTAACACTCATTGTTATCACTGTGTGATACCAGATTTTCCAGGCATTATAGTAGTTGCTCTGTACCCAGTCTTATTTTTTCATATTCTGTTAGAGATGGAAATGGTTGCTTCTTATGCTGGAAAAAGTCTTACAGATCATTTTTTCTTACTTGACTGGCAATGTACAGTAAAATGTTGAAAGCAGATTTTGATTGTATTTTATGGAGAGCAGTTATGGGAACTTCGTGTAAGCACAGACACCTATCCTTGGGTTCTAGCAGCTGTACCCTGAACTCCTTCCTCCATAGCAACCGTCTTTTCTGTCCTCCGTAACTGTATGTTGGGTGAAATATGCAAGGGTTAAGATGGAGATAAATGGTATAAAATACCGACAATGTAGAAAAATGCACAAATGTAGTATAATGTGATCCTTTAATGACCATGTTTTGCCCACACAGTCGGCTTTATTAAGTCACAAACAGATCTGTCTGGGCAAAGAGTACACGAGTACATATATTTAGGATGGAGAATCGGGTGGAGAATATTGGGGAGGCGGGATTTGAGATGGACCTGCATGGGCTTGGCAAGTAGGTATGTTGTTAGGTAGGATAATGATGAAGTTTAGCTGTGTTGCAAAAGTTGTTGTTTTGGTTGAAATTGTTAGGATATACAGGATTAATGGTGCTTCTAAGATCCTGCATCACTGTTTTTTTTCCTTGCAATGAGTCTTGCATCTCTGTTGTTGATTAAATGGTTGTGGAAGCATTGGTGTAGAATGCAAGCATTCATCAAATCGTCCATTCTGCTTGTGTATTAGTGTTCCAAAATATGTTTGGAGGTCTCTGGGTTGGGGGGGGGGGGTTTGAAACCATGTCGAGTGAGTCCTAAAACTTATCGCTGTATCTCCTGACCAACATCACCACCTCTTCCTCTGGGCAGATGTGGATCTCAGGGTCACTCTCTCTCTCTAGTTCTTGCACATCATGGCTGTGACAGGTTCGTGCTTCCTCTACATCTTGACCATCAAACCATATCTCCCCACGCTTTCCTTGAAAGGATCCTCGAGCAGATGCACTTTGCCACATCCATAAAGAAGTCTGAGATGTGTTTGATGGTTGCCATGGCACTATTTGAGAAGTATTTCTATGCATACTACAGGAACTACCCTGCATTGTTCTATTGTACATCTCGTACGGATCTTGGCACTATTTCCTACTTATTCATTAGGTGCCTATTTTATAATCCTCTTGCTGTGTCAAATATGTAATCTTTCCCTAGCATGCTCTTACATGACCTAAAAATTCATTGTGAAGTACATGCTGCTTGTCTTCATATGTGCTCACCTCCTCCACAGAAAGTGGTCATTTTTACTGACTTGGTCATTGCTTTCTGTAGTGTCTTGAATGTGTCATAGGTCTTGGTGTTTTTTGTCTGTGATACTGTATTGTATGCTATTACATGATGCAGTTGATTGGAAAGTGGTCCAGTGGGTCCCACCCCTTAAGGGCTTTTGTGACAGTCAGAAAGATAATAGACAAGGCTGACTTTGTCATTCACAAACAACCCATACTTTGAAGAAGAAACTTTAGATAACATTTTTGTCTATCCTGGACCATTGTCAGGTAATGTGTCATGTGATAATGTTCCATCTCTGAAGTATGGGTTGTTTGTGAATTGTATATCAGTGGTAATCAGTACTGACAAGATGATGAATTAGTTACATGTGCAACATCTGAGTGTCTTTACTTGTAGACTATGGTGCTCATAGGCTGAGGGGTTGATTACCTCATTTTCCACTACTTGCTGTATATATTTCTATGTCCCTGTGTTGTATTGATAAAGCCACTGGATGGCAAAATGCCTACAAGATACCCAGATGTTGCACATGTCTAATTCATCCTATGTTTGTGAATTGTTCAAGGCGTCGCATTGTAACCTTCACTCATCCTCCAGCAGCATACCTCTAGTTTCTTAGCTAGACAAATGTGTTCCCATCCTCAGAAAAGTGTGTTGGTTGTCAGCTCATCATTTTAACTCCCCATCCCTCTCCGCTTGACTTTTGCATGTCTTCCTTAACTTCCTTCAGTTGATCTTAGTCATTAGATGCCTATTTCTGATTATTTCTCTTGACCTCGCCTCATTGCTTTTTCTTCCATGCACCTTGTTTCTTGGTCCTTCCCATGACATCTCGTAAATCATTGCAACTGCCTTAATTTTAGAAGGCAGACTGTCATGACATTTTTCTCGACATTCAGATTTGTTTAAACACTTTGATATTTAGTACGTATTCTTTTCAAGGAATCCAGACATTTTTCTTGCTTAGAATAATGTAGCTTATAATACAAGTGCCACTCTCAAATACAGTGGAACCTCTACTTACGAGTGCCCCAATGTGTGAGTTTTTCAAGATGCGAGCAGTCGCTCATTCGATTTTTTGCTTCAAGATGCGAGTGGGCCTCAAGGGAGGTTCCTTGATGCTGGTGAGGGGCTCTTGCTCTTGATCTAGGGAATTGGATCTCAGTTGTTTGTTGGACTATCTTATTGAAACTTGGGCAGTATATGATGGAAAGATGCTTCTTAATGTACCCCAAAATTGAAAGAAATCAAACCATAAATAACCGAGTTCACTCCTCAGCCATTAGCCGCCCCTTAGCGATATATTTTCATATGGTTTTTATGGTTGTATTCTCGTTTTTTTTTTTGGTCTCACTTGATAGAATGAAAGATATATTGCAGAAATAGATATGATTTTGATTGCTTTCACAACAAAAGGTACCTTGAAATTGAGCTCAAAGTAGCGGAAATGTTCGCTTCTTTGGCGATGTTCAAGAGTAAACAAATGACGTCACCGTTCAATACGTGTCTACCTGGCCAGTTTCATACGCAGTCATGAATGGGTTGACATTATTTATACAATTATTACAATAATGTAGTAGTCTGCATAACAGCAAATCATCTATTTTTGTGTGAAATAAAATTCCAAATGGTAAACAAGAGTATTATTATAAGAATACATACGTACTAATTAATATTAATAATGCGTTGGAGCCATGTAATGATGCTTGCGTAAGTCATTTCCGAAGCATTCTGAAAGGGGGGAAGAAACAAACCTCCTTAGACAGTTTTTCATTGAAACGCCCTGCAGATGAAAGTGCGACAAGCGTGGAGAAGAAGCCAAAAATCAGTGAATAGTGAAGTAACATTAAAATAAAAATTGTAGCAGTTAAGTGTGTTGGAGCTATATAATGATGCTGTGCCCAGCATCTCGTCTCCATCTCCAAGGTAAATGCTGTATTACTACATAATTTCTTTACATTACGTATTATTATCATTATTATAATTATTGTTTTCCTTATGGAACTACATAATAGTAGTATTTCTTACCTTAAATTGTGGGTGCTAGTGTTTGTCGATGATTGTGAAGAGAGTGGAGAGTTATG